TATGTGTATATATATGTATTGTGTGTGTATATATATATACTATATATACAGTATATATATATATATACACACTCACTGTTTATATATACTTTTTTACTTCAAAAAACATGGCTCCAGCTACTTAGTTTTATTGTGTGTGTTTATACCTTTACATAATTTCATAAAGTAACAGGCAGACATTATCTACTCTAAATATTAAAAGCTTAAAAATAAGTTATGCACCACCTGAAGCATCACATCCTTGATCATATCTGTTGCTTATGGCTTAGCATGCCTTATATATACTTCCCCTCACACACAGTCAATATTTCTGAATGTACTTACCGAGTAACACACACGATCATGCCATAAAAAGATATCACAGGATCACAGAATGGCCTGGGTTGGAAGGGACCTCAAGGATCATGAATCTCCAACCTCCCTGCCACATGCAAGGTCACCAACTTCCCCATTTAATACTAGACCAGGCTGCCCAGGGCCCCATTCAACCTGGCCTTGAACACCTCTAGGGATGAACGGGGCATCCACAACCTCTCTTGTGCCAGCACCTCACCACTCTCTTGGTAACGAACTTTCCCCTGATACTCAACCTAAATCTTCCCTCCTTCAACTTAAAACCATTTCCCCTTGTCCTGCTGTTATCTACCCTTTCATAGAATTGACTCCCCTCCTGTCTGTAGGCTCCCTTTAGGTACTGAAGGCTGCAATGAGGTCACCCCACAGCCTTCTTTTCTCCAGGCTGAACAAGCCAAACTTCCTCAGCCTGTCTTTGTGCTCCAGTCCCCTGATCATCCTCATGGCTCTCCTCTGTACCCTCCCCAACAGCTCTCTGTTTTTCTTGTACTGGGGGCTCCAGACCTGGACACAGTACTACAGGTAGGGCCTCACAAGAGCAGAGTGTATCATAAAGCTTAAAAGTAACATCAAAAAAATACATTTAGTTTAATAGCTCTACATTATTTGGAAATGAAGTTCCTTTCTTCCTTTGTCCTAATTGACAAAACGTTATGATGTCCAATGCATCCACGCAACTTTGAGCAGCAGATATAAAATAAGACATCTAGAGCAGCTCTTCTAAAAAGATGAGATGTATTTCCATTTGACCATTGTGGGATGCTAAACCACCAACAGCAGGACATTTCAACAGACAGCATCCAGGCAATGCAAATCCCACTCCTGGGATGTGCCCAGGGGCCAAGGTGCTCTCTCCAAACATGCAATTCTTTTGAACCTACAGCTCAAAGGAAACTAATAGAAATGAACAGGAGGATGGATTCATTGAGCTTCTGAGGAACTGTTCAAGTGATAGGAAATTTTTCTTTCCTTCACAAAGTCCAGTCCCATGTATCTTATTACTTTGTGAATGCGGGTCTTCAGCATCGTCCAGACTCTTCTTGAACTCTGGCAAATGCTTTCAGACACACGGTCTGATTTTTGGGTGCTCCTGTGTGGAGCCAGGAGCTCAACTTGATGATCCTTATGGGTCCCTTCTAACTTAGGATATTCTATGACTCTATAACATAAAGACATAGAGATTCTGAGGATGGCATGCTCTGCTTATCAATGGCAGACCAAGAACTTCTTCATCCTTGCCAGGTAAGGACACCCAGTGAAACCAACTCCTAGTGAAGCCCTCTCTCACTGCAAGGAGACAAACTCTCCAGAGTGAAAAGAATCACCTCCACCCCTTGACGAGATGGATCCATCATGAATATAGTACTGGCAGTGCCGGGAGGCATATGAAGATACTGCACATCTCACTACTAGATTTCTGGAACCAAGACTGAGCCAGGAGAAAAGGAATGGTATTAACTAAGGTCTGCATATAAAGCACTACGTGCTGTCTTTTGAAGACTTGCAGATAAAAGGAGAAGAATTTACCTCTAAGGTGTTGTGATGGCTTATGTCAAAGGAAACTAACATTAAGTCTATCCTATAAGGGAAAAAATGGTAGGACTGATAAAAAGAGCTGATAAAGAGACCTACTGTCAGCTATGCCTCAATCCTGGAAACTCCTCTTGTTGTGTCCAGTCAAATCTTCCAGGTGTGCTCTGAAGTGAATTCAAGGTTGGATTTACCAGTCCCAACACTTGACAATCCCTTGACATATGGCAGTTGAACGAGCACCCGACATTTTTCTGATGTTAAACACCACAGCTGTGCTGCTCACTCCCTGCAAAGTGCAGTCCTGTCAGCACACAGGAAGCCCGACAGATTTTCCCATTGTCTGTAAGTCCCAGCTCCCTGGTAAGAAAGCTCTGTCCTTTTTGAGACTAAAATCCTGAGGTTCAGACTGTCTGCCTTAAACAAGCGAAGAAGCAGTGTTCATTGTCAACAAGGATGAGCAAAAAATACAAAATGACATCTCTATACAAACAGGAAATATGTAACATTACCACTGCAATGGTAAATCTGACTCCAGGAAGAAGTGACATTTTTCCCTGAGAGCAACAGCATAGCCAAAAAAAAGGAGACACTTGGTGTGACAGAAGCAATGGCATACAATTCTAGTGGGCTCGTTCTTCTCTATGTTATAGGTCACACCAGAGTATTTTCTGGAAAAGAGATCTAAACTCCACGCTCTTGGAAGTGGAGAAGTGAGTACAGTTATAATGAATGCCAACAAGTGATGGGATTCCAATTCTACTGATCCAAACAGTGCTATATACAGTGGGCTAGGTCTTGCTGAATAGGTGTATAACAATTTTTCTAAGGTTCCTGGAGCCAACCACTCTTCCTGAATAAGGCAGTAAGAAGAAAACAGACCCCTCTTTTTGAGACAAAGAATCATGCTGGAAAAAGCCTTAGCAAAGACTTCAACAGCAGCACAAATGTAATGCCAGTTGTATTGTTGCCAGTTCAGATCTTGGATACCACCAGCGAGATACTCCCATAGCAAACAGGTATCTAACTGATCAAGCTATGCAAGTGATAAATACAATGATCTCAGAGCTTCCTGAAGCTATTCAAGATGTCATCAGTCTCACAATTGAACAAACAAGAGGTGTTTAAAATCTCTGGCTATAATCCAGATTATAAACCAATTGATGTTTAGATGTTCTAGGTTTACTACCTAGAAAACTGATAGTTGCTGAAAGCCTGGATCAGCGATAGGGCTCTCTGAGACTTGTACGGAAAACCATCTCAAGCAGCTTCCAGAAGAGTCCTGTAAGCTTCACACACTGACATCCACAGACCCTACTTAAGGACCAGAACCAGACAGCTCACTATTTTAAGACAGAGAATTGCCAACAGCTGCAATGGTGCCCCTGTGACTTCTCACTTTTTGTGAGCAGCATTTCCACAGCGTATCTTATTCCATGCTGTTGTTGCTACAGAAGTGGGAGCAGAATGGAATAGTAAAAATCACCACTTGACACGTCCAGCTGTAGAGGAAAACAGCAGCAAAAGCCTGAATAAGTAATCAAGACACAACATTAATTGGAAAAAAAGTCTCCCTTATGGGGATACACACAAGATAATTTAAAGATTGACTTCAGCAATTCCTCCAAAGTACCTACAGAGTAATGGCAAGCCAGCAAAACATTTGGAAGAAAGTCTTGAGATCAGTGTGTCAACTGCACAAACCAACAGCTAGAATGCTCTGATAATGACGCCTTGGTGCCTGACACAAGGAGCATAAGAGGAATTTTGTGGCTGAGCATGTATGGGAACTGCTGAGTCACGGCCTGAACCTCTGATTGATCACCTGAGGCGAGCACTGAGTCAGCCAGGGGAGCACAGGTGAAGGCAATTCAGCTGTGCTGACGGAAGGGGTGGAGCCTGGTTCCTAGACCCATTTAAGAGCTGGCTACCAGTAGGAAAGGATCTTGAGATCCCCTCTGCTGGAGTTTTGTAAGTGAGCCCAGGATACAGGTAAGCTTTCTATCTGTTCTCTTTTTGTTATCATAATCTGCTTTGCCTAGCTCTCTTGTTTATTTCATAATTATAGCATCTTTAATCTTCATTGAGTATACAGAGCACTGATAAAATTATGTAAAAGATGTCATGAGTTGAAGATGTTGAAAGCTTAACCTAACAGGCAACAGTCCTTGATACCATACAGTAGCACAGACCATTTCAAGATCTTACATCACATCTTGTGACATGGATGACTTTTTAAGTGGCAGCAGAAGATGGTACAGTCTCCTTATCTCTACTGGTACTTGATGGCATGCAAGAAGCCTTCCAAAGAGCAGATGATGGAGACAACTGAAAACTCCACCCCAATACAATCTTTGGTACCATAGACTGGCCTTATGCTTATGTCCCAGACTTTTGTTGGAGTAGAAAGAGAATGGAAGCATTAGCCCAGAGTTCTGCCAGCAATTGCAGCAAGCTCTAAAGACTAGAATGTAATTCTGAAAAGTGGTAACTTCTGGAAGTTACAGAAATGTTTGAGTCATGATGTTTCCTAGGTACTCTACTGTACTTCTAGCTATGAAAGTTTGATTGAAAGTTAATTAATAGCAGGAAAGTAACTTCAAACCAAAGGTATGAAAAGTGGTTCCATATCTATCTTAACCAACATAGCTAGCATTCTGGTGTAGGACTCCAGAGCTCTGCTTCTCTTCCAGTACTTCGTGGCCAATACATTTATTTGAGGCTAGACCACAATCTAACTCTCTACCATCTGAGCCAAAGTCCCAAAGAAGGTTAAAAAACTATATATTAAGGTCTCATTTCAGAAGGCTACGTGGGCCAGAGATTATGCAGACACTCACACCAAGAGGCAGGGACTTGCTAGGTAGATCTTTCACTCGACTGCTTGGGTATTCATCAAGAGAAAGTCTCACAGAGAAGAAGTCAAGATCTAACTCAAACTCAAGGTAGAATAGCTGTTTTCAAAGCTCAACCTATTAAACACAAAGCTATTACTTATTCCTTCAAATTTAGCAGGTTTGTTTGTTTTTTTTTTACCTGTTCTTTTGCTGATCACTTCAAGAGACATTTTGAAAAACAGAATACTTTCCCATTCCCTCCAAGAAGAGTCACTTTTTTTCCTGATGCACCTTCTTTCACCATGTGAACTGTATTATCCACAGCAAAATATTAAAAATTAATTTGACCTAAGCCTAATTATTTCTAATGTGCTTTCTAATTTTCTTCATTGCAAAAACATTAATTTCCTGAAGCAATCTAACATCACAGTTAAACTTGGAACGCCTCAAACTCTACAACCATTCATCTGGGCAAAACAGTTTGCACTGAATAGACTTGGCAGAAACTCAGTCTACAACACGGCACCACTCACTTGATTCAATAGCATCCAGTTTCTGGAACGTCCACACAACATCACCATCGAGTACCTTGGGTAAGAAATCCCGCAACTGCATAACCTCAGTTGTCAGCCTTTCCAAATCCCTCCTTCTGACTTGAACGAAGTCCTCGTTGCTTTCATCCTTCTGAAATGGGAAACAAAACAACCACCAAAATAAAAACAAACAAGCCCCCTGCCCCAGAAAATGACACTGTTTCTGCTTTGAAGTACACTTCTGCTTGCGTCCTTTCTCTCAACAGTACTGTTCTGCACTACATCAATTTAGAAATTCATAACCTTATTTTAAGAGAACTATTGAGCAATAATTTAAAGCGAGTCACTGGGACACAAAGTCTTTGAGTGTAATCTGATTTTTGCCAGTCTGGCCTAAAGCAAATTGTATTATCTTTTTACATCTGTTTTTTCACCTAAAATGTGTGCAATGTACCTCAGAAAGCTGTAAGGATTAACATTCACATGTCTGAAAATGCTATACGTATGCAAAGCTATTGTTTAGAAACCGTTGTAAAACATACACTGTAACTCCATTTTTTAATTAACTCAAATAACTGCAAGATCCTCAGTTATCTAGAACATGTATTTTTTTTTTTTTTTTTTCAGAGTACTAGACCTTTTGTGAGAAGCAAAAGCTATTTGTACTCCAATCCCACATAGAAGTAACTCAATCCCAAATCAAAACAAGAGAGGAGGTGGATGCCCCATCCCTAGAGATGCTCAAGGTTAGGCTGGACCAGACTCTGAGCAACCCAATGTAGCTGTAGGTGTCCCTGTTCATTGCAGGGAAGTTTTACTAGATGACCTTTAAGGGTCTCTTCTAACTAAAATGGTTCTATGAAATGTATTTACTTATTTCCTCTTGTGCCAAGATACTGCAATGAAATAACTTCAATTGCACAGTTCAAGAGAACATGTATTGATTTTTAAAACAATACCAACTTTTTCTGTATAATAAACTACCCAACTCCAGTTTCTGGTGTATTTTGGTATGCACACTGCTGCATCTTAAAGATGCTACACACTGACACAGAAAAAAGTTCAGCTTCCTTTGTCTAAAACATTAATGACCTAGTAAACTTTCACAATGCAAAAATGACATTTCTAAGCAGTTTAAATTTTAGGGAATGGTGCAGGTCTCAGAAACTGAGATTCTTGACATACTGTTTCACCTTCTTTCAGACAGATGAGTGTACTAGAGAATACAAGAAACCATTGCCTCAAGGTATAGCCATCTCAGGTCAAGTCTCAGTCCAAACTCAGGTCATTATGGAATCACAGATTCATTAAGGTTAGAAAAAACTACTTAAGATCACCTAGTCCAACATCAACCCATCACAACCATGGCCACTGACCATGATCCTCAGTGCTACAACTACCCTTTCCTTGAACACCTCCAGGGACAGTGACTCCACCACCTACCTGGGCAGCCTGTGCCACTGCATCACTATTGCTTCTGAGAAGAAATTCTTCCTAATGTAGAGCTTGAACCTGCCTTGCACAACTTGAAGCCATTTCTTCTCATCTTATCACTGTCCTGATGGCCTCCCTGCTCCTGCTGGCTGCACTATTTCTGATACAATTTAGGATGCTATTGGCCTTCTTGGCCACCTGGGCACATTGCTAGCTCATATTTAGCAGGCTGCCAACTAACATCCTCAGATCCTTTTCCTGCGAACAACCTTCCAGCCGTTCTGCCCCAAGTTGCTGTATTGCCCAGGGTTATTATTACAGAAGTGCAGAGCCCAGCATCTGGTCATCCCACTGCCTCAGCCCAGCTATCCAACCTTTCCACATCCCTCTGCAGGGACTTCCTACCCCTAGGCAGATTGACACTCCCTCCCAGCTTGATGTCATCTGCAAACTTACAGAGGGTGCACTCAATTCCCTCATCCAAATCATCAATGTAGACATAAAACAGGGCTGGCCCCAGTACCGACCTCTGAGGAATTCTGCTAGCAACCAGTCAATGACTGCATTTAACTCCACTCACCATCAATACAGACACAGAAAATGGTTTTTAACTTGCAGTTGCAATTAAGGAGCCTTTATGGGAAAGTTAGCACAATCAAGACACACAACGCTACGCAACTCACAGAAAAACAACTCATTTTAGTCTCAAGAACACATATGCATATGTAATAGGACTCCATAGAGGACACCAGGTGAACACTTACAGTCAGACAAACAGGAAAGCCAGAAATAGAGTTCAGTAAGTTCAGAACTACAAAGCATAGCATAAAAACCACATTATCTGCTCTCAGCGACCAAACCCAGGCAAAACCCGAGGCTCAAAACGCGGGGTGTTCCTCCCTGTAAACCACAGACCCTCACACAGAAAAACCAGGATTTATTTTTTTCACCCAACGCTCCCCCGCACTACAACGTCCAGCTGCAACAAGTCGCTCCGCGCAGAGGGAAGCACGGCCCTTCCCCGCAGCCCTCAGGCAGAGCCCGCCCTCCAACCGGGCGCTACCTGCGCTTCGCCCGCCTGCCCCGCGCAGCGCCGCATGGCACCAAGCACCGCCCGGCGGCAGGGCGGGAAAAAGAGGGGAAGGCAGAGGGCGGGAAGAGGGTGCTGCGCCGGCGCGTCACGCTGCGCCGCTGCCCTGAGGGAGGGGCTGGGCTGGGCGTTTTGTGATTTACAGCGAATAAAAACACCTTTAGGCACAACAGTTGTCTATTTATTACTATTATTATTATTGAGAATTTGTGTAAAAGCGGGGCGCAACCGCTCTCCCACACCGTGACCAGCCCCCACCCCAAGACTGATGACGTCAAAGAAAAGGCGACGGCGCTTTCGGTGACGTCACCAGTGCGCGCCCGAGTGTCGGTGGCACGGCGCGGTGCGGTGCGGTGCTGCCGGGCCATGGCTCCCGCCACCGCTCAGGCTCCTGAGATCCAGTTCGCGCAGCGGCTGGCCGCCAACGAGAAGAGAATCCGGGACCGCGCCGTGAAGAAGCTGCGGGGCTACATCAGCGTGCGCACGCAGCGCCCGGACGGTACGGGGCGGCGGGGCACGTGTAGGAAGGGCCTGCGCTGAGACTTCTCTGTGGGGATCGGGGCTCGCTTCTTTGCTTCCTTCTTTCTTTTTTCTTGTTTTAACCTTTACGCACCTATTTCGCAGTATGTGAGAGTTGAAGGCTGTGGTTTTATGCTCTGCTGCCTGCTGAGGAGGTAGTCCCAGCTGTTTCAGTCTTTCCTCATAAGGGGGGTGCTCCAGGCCCTTAACCGTCATCAAAGCAGAGCAGGGGGGTGGGAGGGTGGAAAATCACCTCCCTCGACTTGCTGGCCCCACTTTTTAATGCACCCCAGGGTACCCATTGGCTTTCTTCCTGACAGTTGCTATAAATAAATCAAAGGAGATGCCTAGGGATTAGTAAGAGCAAGCAAATGTACACACTGCCCCTCCGAAGTGCAGATTGCTTTAGTTTGGGGCATTTCCTATGCTAGATGTAGCATCTTTATATTCATATTTCTTATATCACTGTGTTCAGTCTCACTGCAAAGTGTAGATTCCTCCCAGTTTGTGGAAACTCTCAGGTGGATAGGAGCTCCCTCACTAGCAGATAAAGTTGCATGTTAATTAATGCCTTAAAATACTAGGAAACCACCATAGTGAAGCAGTCAGTAAACCTTTTGCACGTGAAGATCAACCCACTGTGAAATTCAAACAAGGAGGAAAGCAAAGTGACTGATTTCCAGTGCTCTTAGATTTATTTGCTCTCAAGTAAAGTTCAAGCTAGTAATATTAAAATGAAAGTTAGCTGATTTGGTCTTGAAAAAAGAGTGTTATGTTCAGGAAGAGTTGTTTGTTTTTTTTTTTTAATTTTCAAGTTATTTATGCGTAAGCAGGCATATGTCTGTACAGTGCTTTGTCGGAGATGAGAGTCACACATCAGGTAAGCCAGCTAGAGTCCTTCACTTGAACAATAAAGAACTTGCCAACTTTTGAATGAGGTACCAGAGTTCCTGCTGACTTCGTCTCATGGTCCATAGGTAGTCAGAACACAGGCCATGGACTGTTCAGTATGATCTATGCTAGGGTTATTAGCCATGCCAGGGAGCCTTTCTGAAGAGCTAGAACTTCAGTGAAGTTAAATTCCAGAGGAAGCATAGAACCACTGAATCTCTGAAGTCATTACATGTGTGTGGATGAACTTGGATAAGCACATTATTTTTCAGAAGTGGTCCTTTTTGTTTTTCTGATCAATCCATTCTTAAAATCCATTCCTTGCGTAAGGCAAAAAAAAAAAAAAAAAAAAAAAAAAAAAGGCAATGAATAGGATACAGGCACTACAAAGCAACAGCAGGTAATAAAGAAGGAAAATTGACTCAACTCTTCTGACAACCAGCAACAGCTTGAAAGATAGGTAATCTCTATCCAGAGGGATGCTGCTCACAGTTTAATGGAGTGGATGGATCCAGGCTCAAGCCCTTCTCTCTCTCAGGTGCATTGCTTGTACCTGCACTCCCTAGGTTAGCCACTCCTCACCTGGTGCTCAACCACAGGTTCAGGCTTTGACCTGGCAGTTCCACTGCACCGTGTAAGAGAAGAGCATGCTATTCTGGGCTGATAATTGGAGGGTCGTCTTTTCTTCTGTCTTTAGTATCTTGCATAAAGATACTGGTTAAAAAAAATAAGCACTAAGCACTAAAAAGCTGTATTCTAGGTTTTGCACTTGTCATCTCTTAGCAATGTGCCAGAGGGAACAAAGCTTAACTGCAGACGGATTTATCAGATTTACCTTAGTGTTCATTTCTCATCTCTGTGATTTCTTTGAAGTCTTTGTTACTTTGACACACAATAAAATATTAAAGGCATGAAATCAAGTGGTGTTAGTCTGCTTATTGTAGGAATCAGTATTCGCTCATAAGAATATGACAAAAAGAAAGAAAAAATGGGAAATAGAGGGAAGGAGAAAGAAAGAGAATTGCTTGAAAGCATTTTGGTGGAAGTGTGGGATGTTTCATTTTCAGTCACGCTTATTCTGTACCCTAGGTGGCTTTAGCCAGGAAGAACTGCTGAAGATATGGAAGGGACTGTTCTATTGTATGTGGATGCAGGATAAACCGCTGCTACAGGTATAGTACTGCTTCTATGTTTGTCTGAGTGGGTGTCTTCTAAAATGTGCTATAAGGACATACTACTTCAGAATAGTGAAAATGACTTGAGTGAGTCTTGCTCACTGTTCTGTCTTGCCCTGACTGTGGTACATTCAGTAGAGTTGACTAAGTCAGTGATCCTCACCTTGTGGACCCTTTGGTGTTTGCAATCACCCTTTCAAAAGCAGATGTAACTATTTACCTTCCAGATGAAATATATATTGCTATGAAGTGCATTGATTTGATGGAACTACAGCAGTAACAGCAGGTTGCCCTTACCTGCAACTTCAGCATACCTACAACCTTTGCTTCGCTGAGTTTGAAAGTTTCATGCTTCCTATTTTTTGTTAGAATCACAGAAATCACAGAATCAGCAAGGTTGGAAAAGACCTACAAGATCACCCAGTCCAACCATCCACTTATCACCAATATTTCTCACTAAACCGTGTCCCTCAACACAAAATCCAAACATTCCTTAGTATGAGGAGTTTGTTGGTATTTTTTCTATTACCAACTTTTTGCCCCCTCCTTTGATTTGTCTACCTATTTTCAAAAGATGCCAGTTTTGGAGTAGAAATCTTAGTAACCTCAAATTGCTTCTCTGTTCACCTCATAAGTAATGTTTATTCTCTGTTTATCTCACAAATAATACAGAGGTGTACCTACATTTAAGCTACATGAGAAGAGTACCCCAAAAGTTTTACATTGCGTGTTAATTCAGATATGTTGGATTATTCTTTTCCTACTTCAGTTCTTGCTGTCAATAGGATGATCTGTGCAGGGAGCTGGTCAAACAGGGCTTCATAGCCTTGAATTTTATCTTGTAACTAACCTAATCCCAGTACAAACTATGGTACAAAAGCAGTTGTTAAGAGAATGTTTTATGAGGGATGTTTCTTCATATTTCTGGCTGTTCTCTTGTTGAATGTGTAGTAAGGAGACCAAGCTCTGAAATACACTATACTAACTGTATTTGTTTGCCTTTAGGAGGAACTTGCAAATAACATTTCACAGCTTATCCATGTGATTCAGAATACAGAGGCTCGTAAGTACTATTTAATTATCTGACTCTTTTCAAGGTGCTTTAATGTTTGATGATTTTGAGCCTACTTTCACAGTCCTAGGGTAGAGACAGATCTGGATCATAACTTTGTTTTTTCCTTTGCTGGCTGTCCAGCTGGTACATGTGATTGCATTTAGGAAAGTATCAAGACCCTGGATCAGATGCAGTTTATTTCTGGTTGTTGCAGGGGAAGGGTTGTCTCTCCAGTGTGAGGAAGGTGAGATTTTTTGCCAGGTGGATGGCAGAGAAAACTTAACCCCTTACCTTGCTGTTCTGTGTATTTCCTGCTCAAATCCAATCTTGTTTCATGAGCTGTTAAGCACAAAATATACAAAATCCACTTGAAATGCAGTGCTTGATCAGTGCCTTGACTAGCATGAGTAGAAATGAATGCTCAAACTTGTGCATATATGCCTGAAAATGTATGGGTACAAAGCTCAGCCTCAGTAACGTTGTTATTTCAATTGTCACTGTAATTGTGCTTGTCTTTAAAAGTAGCTGTGTGCCATTTCTTGCTTTGTTTAGCGGATGTGTACCTGACTCAAGCATATCTACTCACGGATCTACGTCAGTCACTGGGCAAATCCCTAGGGAAATGCAGTTCTCCCTCATCTTGAAGTGACTTCTTGAGATTTTTGGGGTGAACAGAAGAAACCTGCATGCCAGACAAGCAGTTACAAGTCTTCTCTTTTATTCTTTTGCAGAGCACTTGTTCATTCGAACGTTTTGGCAAACTATGAGCCGTGAGTGGAATGGAATAGACAATCTACGTCTCGATAAGTACTATATGGTAATGTTGACTATTGTAGCTCTTTTTCTTTTTCTTTTTTGAATATGTGTAGAATATGATGGTGTGCTGGAAGGCAGCATCCAGCACATGCATCTGTGAATGTTTTAAGAGAAGACAAGTGACTATTTTCATTATTCATTGCAAAATATATTTATTGTTAAGGCTTTTGCACACTATCACGAATTTAGAAGTCGTGACAGTTTATGTTGTGCTGAGAGTTTTTTTTGTTTGTTTAGCTTCTTTTATATCACAGTGATGTTTCTCATAGATTACTCTGAGAGAAATTCTTAGAAAGAAAGATGATTTCATGCATAAGTGCTCTCACTGCATATTAATACTATCTCAGCAGACACTGCATCAAGATCAGTGATTTACAGCGGGCTGTCAAAAGACGTTTATGACTCCATTTAACAAACCAGTTGTCACTAGAATGCCAACTTTCCAGTACTAAAGTATCCACCATAGCACATTCAGCTATCAGAATTTTTTCTGTAGGAAGTGCTAT